CTAGATCGTGATTTCTCTGGAAAAGGTGTTTCAACTCCTGCAGCTGTAGCCCTGTCACAGAGGCAGCTGCAGGACCCCAGCGCTGGCACAGGCTGCATTTTGGGCACGGTAACTGGAATGGACTGTGCACTGGGCGTCAGAACTGACACAGGCTGGACATGGGGTCCTGTAATGGTACAGGCTGCTCATTGGCTGACACTGTACTTGGCATAGACTGAACACTGGGTACTGTAATTGGTATGGCTGTACAGCACCCACCTGGAAGAGCATAGGGTGTGCAATAGGAACTGCCATAGGTGGTGTGCTCGATCACTTAACTGGCATAGGCTGTACATTGGACATAGTAAATGGCACGGGACAGACATGGGGAACAGAAACAGGCATAGGCTGTATCTGGACCTCAGTGATTGACACAGGCAGTACCTGGGGCACAGTAACAGGCATAGGCTGTACCCGAGGCTCAGTGATTGGCATAGGCAGTAACTGGGGCACATTAACAGGCATAGACTGTATATGGGACAGTGACAGGCACAGCTGTACACGGTGCACAGTAACAGGCACAGACTGTACCTGGGACAGTAACAGGCACAGGCTGTATATGGGGCAGTAACAGGCACAGGCTGTATATGGGGCAAAGTAACAGTCATATAGTGTGTACATTGGACACAGTGATTGTCATAGACTGTAACTGGGGCACATTAACAGACACAGGCTGTATATAGTAACAGGCACAGGCTGTACCTGTGGCACAGTCACAGACATAGGCTGTACCTGGCGCACAGTAACAGGCAGAGGCTGTACACCAGGCACTGTTACTGACATACACTGTACTCGAGGCACCAGATGTGATATATGCTGTACACAGATCACAAAGCTGCACAGCCTCGGTACCCCCTATGCTCTCAGGAACTGGCTTCTGAGGTGGACGCTCATTCTCCTGGCTATTGGGACTGGCACTCTCTCGGTCATCCATGATGCCTGAAGGTACAGCAGCAGAAGGACCTTCTCCAGTCTTCCCTGTTTTTCTGTTCTACTCCTCTCCATTCTGCTGTTGGGCTCCCGACACAGGGTGGTCCCTTCCACCCTCTTCCTCATTTCTTCCCTCTTCATATGGGGAGAGCATCGGTGTCTCAGCACCTGAAAGTAGAAAACAGAAAGAAGAGGCGACAGGGACCAGGGTGGTGCAAAGTTGCTATGACATCAAGGCAGGTGAAGCCCTCAGTGCCCCACTCCTCTCCAGTCACCTCTGAGGAACAACATCTCCTCATGGACATGGCCAACCCACCACTCCTAACATGCACTGACCTTTCCATTTTTCCTGGTCAGGTCCCTCAAGAGGCAGATGTTTGATGTTTCCATGCTCCATGACAGGAATGCTGTTGAAGATCCTCAAGGTTTGCCTTCCTTTGTGTCTCTTCACATTCTGAGGGGGAGACCCATATACTTCTGGCAGGAGAACTACTCCACCAGGAAGGCTTCTTTCTCTTCTATACCTTAACGACCTAACATCCAAGTTATTGTAACCAATCAGAAGCCTTCCTTTCTGGCTTCCTGGAATGATTGACAGTTGCAATGGACTGAGCCCCTGAGGTCCAAAACCAACAGCAGTGTAGCTGGAGTTTTCTCTCTGGGTCCTGCCATGCCCCGGCAGTCCGACAGCCCACGTATAAAATAAACACACAGATGCTTATATTATTTAAACTATTTGGCCGTGGCAGGCTTCTTGCTAACTGTTATTATATCTTAAATTAACCCATTTCTATAAATCTATACCTTGCCACATGGCTCGTGGCTTACCGGCATCTTAACATGCTGCTTGTCATGGCTGCGGCTGGCAGTGTCTCCCCCCTCACAGCAGTTTGGAGCTTCAGTGAGCAGGATGTGTTTACAGGGAAGGTGTGGCCCTTGGGCAAGGCGAGTGTAGAAGGAACCTTCCAAGTGGCATCTCAACTGAGTCCCCTGGTCTTGGGGAATTATCTTCCTAGGAAATGGGTGGTGGTAAACTATGGGAACAAATCTGCAGTGAGTAAGAAAAAAAAACAATAATTTTGAGGCCTTGTGGAAATGTGTGGACCATATCTCTTGGGGAAGGTGGGAAAAACTCACAATGAGCACATGAGGCTTGGGTGAAGACTGGAAAATTTCTCAACATTCCAGACCCCACATTTCCGACTCTCTATGACACATGAGATGAACATTGAGTAGACAGGGTCAGCTCTGCATGTGTCTGCTTCAAGAGTCTTCAAGGACTCTGAAAGCAGAGGCCAGTTCCGGACCTCCACCTTCAGCAGTGGCATTTTAGTCCCATGTTTACAGTGTGTTGTGCAGCACTTCGAAACAGCCAGTGCAACCCTTGCAAAAGTTAACAGACTCCAGACAGCCAGTGAAGAATCTGCATTAGAATGCTTATAGAAGGTCCTGTCCAGTGCTTCTCAGCTCTGCAAGTTCAGACACTGCACCAACTGCACCCTTTGTGTTGCAGTACAAACTGCTGAGGGCTGAGGGTGCATTTGTACAATAACCTGGGCAGAGTAAGTGCCACAGACTCTGGAAGGCCATAAACAGTGGAGAGGTTGTGTGCACTTCTTGTGGTAGAGTGACTGACCTCATTGACAGTGCTTCAGAGTGCTGGGGTTGGGGTGGGGTGCTGTGGGATGTTCTGTATGTTAAATGTGTTGCTCTGATTGGTTAATAAATAAAACACTGATTGGCCAGTAGCCAGGCAAGAAGTAAAGGCGGGACAAGTAGAGGGGAGAATTCTGGGAACAGGAAGGCTGAGTCAGAGAGACGCTACCAGCTGCCGCCATGGAAAGCGAGATGTAAGGTACCTCTAAGCCACGAGCCATGTGGCAACTTATAGACTAATAGATATGGGTTAATTTGAGATATATGAACTAGATAACAAGAAGCCTGAGCCATTAGGCCAAACAATTTAAATAACATAAGCATCTGTGTGTTTATTTTATAAGTGGGCTGCCGGGCTGCCTGGGCTTGGTGGGCCCCTGAGAGAAAACTCCAGCTACAGTGGGGTGTTAATAGGACCTGAGAATGAAAATGCAGTATTTTCCTTTGGTTTGTTTCTTCGTTTTGTGTTTGTGACAGTCTCTCATGTATCCCAGGGAAGCCTGAACCTCACATGTCACATACTGTGTACATCAGGATGACTAGTGCTGTTCTTCCTTGTGTTATACCCTCCCACTGTTCACAGGAGTGCATAGAAATATCTGGCTTTTGGTTAATTAACTAATTATAAAAAAGAAGTATTAGAACTGGAGGCTTAGCTGTGCATAGAGCTGCAGCATGGCTGGACAGCCCCCAGGAATTCTAATTATATTGTAGGGCAAACATCTCAACCTATAAATGTGAACACCATGGCTAGAAATAGGAAAACCATGTCAAATAATGCTGGATATTAGCTAAATCAAACAGCTCATTGTTTTGGAGGAAATATCCAGCCTTTCACTGAAGGGAAGACATAGAGCACTGCTACTATGGACTGAAAGGGCTTGAGAGAAAGATCCGGAAGGTAAGGATTGACGCTGCATGGTGGTTATGCTCACAGTGCTCTCTGTGGGTGGAAAGTTCTTCAAGAGCGTGGTAAACCCAGCAGTAAGACAGGGATTTCAGAGTCCCTGAAGTGGGGGCTCTGACTTTAATAAGTCCTACTACACAAGGGAAGTCATAGAAACCGAGCCCCGTGATTTCAGGAGGAAGTTGTATATGGATTTGAGATATCTGAGTGAAGGGATGTTTACAAAATGTCCTCAATGAACAGCAGAAAGTCTTTTCTCTTAAAGTATCAATGAAAACGCTTACCCTTAGACACAGATGCCAGCCAGTCATGTGTAGTCAGCCAATAGAAACACAGATCCCTTTTCACACATTTACCTGGTCTCCCCACAGTCTCCGTCCATGTTTTATGAAGGTGCCTTCTCACAGACACACGGTCCCTTGCACAGCAATGTAAGCTACAGAAAAGTGGAGCCTCTTCTAATTGATAGGAAGTCCAGTCAGAAACTGAGCCAGACATGTGGTCACCTAGAGCATGCCTCCACAGGATCTGGCCCTGTAGCTGGATACACATTTTGTGTAGCCGTTTCCTCCAAGATAAGACATTCCATTTGGAGGAAAGCTCCTGAAGACAAAAGACATTCCAAATGGAGGCGAAACATATCATAATAAGGGAGAGATGGTTAAGACACAGGAAGTAAAAGGCTTGATAGCTCCAACTAGGCTTAGAAGATGTTTGTTCCCAGTTTCTCCCGGCTCCCCAGGAAGAGTGTCAACAGCACATCTCAGTTCCACATAACCGGGGAGCACAGAATGAGAATCCACAGTCAGCTGAGGCACAGGATGCCACCCACAGGTTCCGTTCATGGAACATCAGCCTCAGTGAGAAGACTGAAGCCACTGGATGTGGCAGCCAGGAACTGGAGCATGTCACCAGATAACACTCTGTACCTGGAAGATGGTGGCAAGGGCCTGTATGGAACTCAGGAAAGTCATGTCTTGCTGGAACATCCAATGTGGAGCCTCAGGACCCTTCCTCCTGATGCCTCCAGGGCCCCAGTGAACCCATCTCTCTGTCTATCTCTGCTTCTCCCTGTGTGATTCCCCACCATGACCCCTTGGGGATTAGGTCTAGGGTGGGACATACTGGAGTATGGGTGGGAACAGCCATGACTAGAAACACAGTGTCCTCTGCTGGAGACTTGCCCCACCTGACATTATAAATAATTGTTCCACAGAGGTGGAGTGAGTTGACAAGCCCATGATGAGGGTGTGGAGAATCATGTGGGGTCAGCATGAAGCAGCATAGCACCTGGAAATCTTCCTCACTCAGCAAGGCACAGTGACCACAGCTTGCCAGTGTCACCTCCTGCCATAAATGCCATTTCTGGAATAGGCTAATATGGTTCAAATACTTATACTCACATTTTAGTAACCTGAAAAACAATGGAACCAACATACTTAGAATCCACCTCTTTATTGTGGAGATAATTGCAGGGAAGAAAAGGTTGTCATGACCAGCACAGGCGGCCGAGACATTGGGGGCAGGGCCAGGTTCCAGGTCATCTGGCTTTGGAAAGAGGCCACACATGAGCTGCTCCAAAATCTTCAGGAATCGTTGTTGTGGGGACCAGGTGGTGCATCAATCAGCACCACCTTTCTATTGCTTCTGAAAATGGCTCTCCTGGCCCTAAACCAATCCTACAAGCAGAAGAAAGGGTTGCTTTAGTACACTGTACTGTACCACCACTGAAGAACATATCCTTTAACCACGTATACTGGCTCAATTTTACTAGCATTTTAGAACATCTATGGAACCCATCCCTGGGCCAGTATGTGCTAGGTATGTGCTCCAGGACAGAGCTACTCCCCTAGCAAAGTACCACATTTCTGTTTGCCCAGAAACTGTTTGTTTATCGATCTAACCCCAAGAACGGTTGAAGACTTACCTCAAGTGTGTACTGATTGTTCAGAATGCTGGAAGCAACAGGTTTCATTCTCATTGAAACAGTCAAAACACCCCCATGAAGCCGCTGAGGACATGTACCCCCACACCCAGTCCTTCTGCTATGGAACAGACCCAGAATATAGTCTATTCTCTCCATCACTTGATACTTTTAACGCATTCTTTCAGGAAAGCATGCAGATCTAGTTCAGTCCTTGCTGTGTGTTGAAAAGTATCAAAAACAGTTCTCTTGGAACCCCAGAGTACTATCTCAAGGCCCAAAGCTTTCTGTAAAAGGCTCCATGGTGATAGCCTTTTATGAGTATCCACAATGCACATTTTATGAGACAAAGGGCACTTCTTCCTGTTCTATGCTTCCTCCCCAGCCTCCAAGCATACTGTGTATAGGTCTTTTCCCTTGTGGGCATGTGGTCTGGAAAAGTCAGGACTGATTGTAATGGTGAGCAGAGTTCACATACATAACCAACAAAAGCCTGGTAAAAGGGTTATGGGTCGTTTGAGGTTCCTGGTCCCAGTATTGATTCAGAACTAAGCCAGGCATGGGACATTTACAGACTAGATCAAGAAGTCTGAGAAAAGGTTTTCTGAGACACACAGAGTGAAAGAGCTGAAGGTGGGCAAGAACATGGTCTCTTCACTTAAGTGAGGCATGCGGGCTGCACAGCCTTCAGAAGGTCATGGAGAACACACTATGTTCACTGAGGGTCAGACAAAGCACCTTGGCATCTTAGGTTTCAGGTGTCCAGGTTGGCATTTCCTGCCTGAGAAAATGGAGGTGTTTCATCATCTTGAGCCTAGTTTGGCTGTGGACTGGGTCTGGCATCCTTGGGATGCAACATCAGGTCCCAATTTGCTGCTACACCTCTCTTCTAGACAGCACCATCACAAGATGTGGAGCCCTTCCAAAACATTAATTTTTTAAAAAATACTGACCTGCACATCTGCTTCCGGCACACCCATTGATATTGCAAGATCCTTCCTGAAGTGAAAAGATTCCAACATTCAGGCCTTGTAGTGGAAATAAACTGTATAAAGACATGTCCTGTTTGCTTTTAAATGTTTGTGTCCACACTTGTGTGTGTGGACATGTGTACATACACACACACACACACACACACACACCCAGACACATACACAAACACATGCACACACTCGCACAGACACACACACAGTATTCCTCACACATACTTTGAGACTTACTTCAGTAACAGGTTTCTTTCAGGGACCAAAATTAAGGGTAATCCCCCAAACACAGGTATGTGGTCTATGTACTTATCATGTAAAGCTTCATTAACAGAGCCTCCACGATGAAATGTGTTAGTCAAATTTTAATCTGAGGTGGAATCCCTCCTGCATTTTCCCAGCCACAACTCAGGCTTCTCATTCATACTTACAGAGACTTATTTAGAACAAGCATTGTCTAAATTTCCCACTCACGTGTCAATTAAACAGGCAACAAAACACAATCTTTCCAGTTGGACTAGGGCACATCTGCTTACTCCAGAATCCATTTTCTGCTGGAGGGTCCAGACATGGTGGCTTTGTTTGTAGAGGAAATCAGGGGTCAGGGAGCACCAAAGGACAGCCTGGATGCACTGATAGAAAACCAGGCGCCTAACAGGCCTTCTGCTTACCTTACTTGAAAGCTGGGGAAGCGAGTCTCTTCGAAAAGACGCTCCAGGTCCTGCAGCTGAGACTGGGTGAATCTGGTGCGTCTCCGGAAAGACAGGTTGTCACCAGCCTGGAGACTGTTGGTGCCCTCAGGCATTGCCGCCTCTTGCTGAGGCTGCTGTTCAATACTGCTGCCATGACCACCTTCTGCCTGGATCCCCTTGTCCATGGCGCCAGAACTACCATCTCCAGCTTGTCCTCCTTCCATTTCTTCTTCTTCGTTTTCTCCCTCCTCTACCACTCCTGTGGCTTCCTGAGTAAGACCGGACTGAGCAAGCTCTTCTTGAGCAGGCTTGCTTGGGGCAAGTTCGCCCAGAGCAAGTTCGCCCTGATCAAGCTCACCCTGAGCAAGCTCGCTCTGTACAAGCCCTTTCTTTCCTCCTTCCTCTTCAGCCTTCGGGACTATTTCATTCCCACCTGCAAGAGAGAAAAACACAAAGATAAAGATCTGAGCATCGTGGCCCATGGATCATTGGAAAGCCTGGAGAGGGCCCACAGGCAGAGCTCGGTAATCAAAGTGCCTGGCCACTGGCCTTTCCACCAAATTTGCTTCCCGGACTTTGCCCAAGAAGAGTCAGAACCATTTTACTGACCATGCTGTTGTTCCTGGTCTTCATTAGCTCCTAGACACAGCAACCTGGTGAAAATGTGGCAGCAGCACTGGCGAGACTCCATGCCAGGAATCTTTCAATCAGACCCGAGTTCTGAAGACTTAAAAGCCGTGTCCTCACGGTCTGACGCCAGAGGTACAGCTGTGACTCTTAACCCGGAAGGCTTGTCTTCTGGAGACTCAACGTAATTACAATGTGTCCAATCACACATTCTGGCCTGCACAGCCTCAGTGGCTGTGGGCTTGTCCTCTGAGGTGCTTAGCCTGAAGCACTTTAGAGCTGCAAAGAGCAGGGAGTATTTAAAAACTGCAGTGAGTGTGTGCGGTGGGGGTGCGGAACCTGTGGCTCTGGTTTGCTCCTTAGCTGACACCTCTAGTTTTGGGTAATGCTGGACTGTCCAAATTCAGTCATAGGGAGTAACCAAAAGACCTTTTCAAACTCAGCAGGCCCTTGAGCCCAGCTAAATCACTTTATCAAATTATGGAAATGTCCTTCAAACAAAATGCCCCAATCTTGGTTGTGCTGCCTTGAAGAGCCCTGTATGATGGCAACTATGTGGGTAGGCCAGGGCAAGATCCTCCTGAGAGACTGTGCTCCCAACAGGGCTGAATTCCACCGGTGTTCACAAGCTCATTCTGATGGAGACCTTTCTCTACCTAGCTGTGCTTGACCAAGGTCCTCGGGTGACCCAGATACCTGAGGGCATCAAAGATCAACCCTGGGTACTGGCTCCAAACCTCACAGCTGTGAAGGTGAAAGACAGGAGGAGTAAGCAATTCTGGATGGAAGCTCTACAAAGAATCATTGCAGGACGGGGCAGAACTGAGGAAAAGTTAGAGAGACTCTCCAGAGTAGGTGACATTCCCAAAATTTAAAAGAGCCACTGAGCTCTGTCATTTCGTGGTTTTTGTTTTTAATAGGATCATGGTAGAGTCTGGACAATGATTGAGGTAATTGTTAGGAGATGGGTTAGTTCTCTGGTATAGCATAGGCTGAGACACTGGAGGGCCCACGGTCCACATGGTCTAGCCCACACCAAGGAGATGATCATTCTCTGTTCACCCATTGCCCACCTAGTCAGGGGTGGCTCAATCCCCTCCCACCACAGGCCCTTTATCCATCCCTGACTAGGGCTTTGTGAGTTGTGGACCTTGACTGTCTTGTCGCCATTAGCCACTGCATGGTCTTGTGTCCTCTGACTTTTCAGCTGTCCCAGGTGCTTTTAATTATCCTCAGCTCTCTGTCTTCTCACAGTCACCAAGAAGCAGCTGCAACTCTCCTTCCTCTTCTCCTTGTCTCCTGAGTCATTGTGAAAGGCTTCCCTGAAACACCGAAATGGGAGGCTTTCTTAGACACAGACTTTACTCACTCTCACAATTAGCTGCTGGAGAAGCTAGGCTATTTTAGGAGACAATAGTATCATGGGTGCTTTCCTGAAGGACTTGGTGGCCTGGTTGGACTGCCCACACTAGACCAGGAGCCCTGTCTTTACCAGTGTGAGACAGCTTGACTGTCCTACTGATCCCATAAACACTTTGTGTCTCTTCTTTGGTGTTCCTGGCTTGGCTGTTTCAAATCAACCCTCATTTTAGCCCTAGCATCCCTTCAACATATGCGAGCAACTTAGAAATTTGAACGTGAGTGCTTTTTCCTCACTAAGGACAGAGACCTCCCTCCTGCATCCATACCAACCCCAGATTCTGAGATAAATTTCCCAAGACACTGTTCCAGGGTTGGTGTGAAGCAGGTAAGCAATCATGTATTCAGGGTGCCCCAGAGACTGGTCATTTCTTCCCCTTTCTACTGAGCTCACAGGACACTGGGTGTATTCTTTTATTTCTGGCAGTTTGCTCCCAGGGCTTAGCAAAGAGTGATGCAGAGGGATATCACTCTCTGGTGGTTGATTCAGCACCCTAAAAGATGGATGCTTGCTGTGTAACCCAGAGGAGCTGTGGAGTGCAATATGGGAGTAGCTAACAGAGGTAAACACCAAGGCCTGTTCTGCTCCAAGCTGTCATCTATGTGAGTCTGGAAACCAGCACCCATCTCTGCCTTTACCTTTGATCCTCTTGACTCTGCTGTCCCCATCTTGGACCTGGGGAAGGGACTCTACTCCTCTGACTCCTTAGGATGTCTGCTGCTCGCCTGCTGCTATCTAGTAGCCCAATCTTACATATCACTGCATTGACAGGAAACCTGTACCCATAAGCAGCTTTTGCTGTAGAACAGCAGTGATTCATGAGCCCAATTACTGCTCTGTGTGATTTTCTTTTAGGTTATCTTCTGTGAGGGACTCTCCAGGATTGAAATGCATTAATGCAATCTTGTGGCTCCTTCTTGTTTAGTTACATGCTCAATGCTTTAGGTCAGTGATTCTCAACCTTCCTAATGCTGTGGCCCTTTAATAGAGTTGCCCATGCTGTGGTGACCCCAACCATTTTCGTTGTTACTTCCTAATTGTAATTTTGCTACTGTTATGAGTCATAATTTAATATCTTTGTTTTCCAATGGTCTTAGTTAAGGTCTGTGGACCCCAAAGTTAAAAGGGCCTACAACTCCCAAGTTGCGAACCACTGCTTCAGGTTAAGGCATGTGATTGTGAAGTTTCTACACTATTTTCCAATGGGACTCTGCTCATCATAGTTATTAGATGGGAAACCTATCTGCACACAGATTTTCCTGAGGGATTTCTTGGTCAGCATGCACAAGTCCACACAGGTGCATTCACAGTCACAACATTCACATGAAGAAACATCTGTAGCCAAAGCCCTCCCATCCCATTGTCCAATCCCCTAGAGTGAGGCTAATGTGCAGATTGTAAGAGCAGTTCTAGAAATATGGAAAGCAAAAAAGGAAAGTGGTCCAAAATGTTTCCTAAAGCTAGTTCCTGCCGGGAAAGGAAACACAAATGAATTCTAAGTCTTTTTTTGATGAGCACAATTTAAAAAAAAATCTTGGATCACTGCTTAACTAAAACCCAAGACAATATTAAGTTTACCTTGAAGAATGTTGAGATAATTCAAATGAGCAATTTTAGAAGCAATTTTTCAGCTCTAAGAAGAAATGTAATTGTGGGATCAGGATCTATACCTGGTGCATGCCGGGGCTTTTTGGAGGTCATTACCTATGCTGGGACACCTTGCACAGCTTAGTACAGAGGGGAGTGGCTTGGACCTGCCTCAACTGAATGTACCAGGCTCTCCTGAGTTCCCATGGGAGCCTTACCTTTTTGGAGGTGGGGACAGGGATGTAGGTTGTTGGGGGTATGTTGGGGGAATTGTGAGGAGAGATGAGAAGGGGATCTGTTTTTGGTATGTAAAATGAATAAAAAATTTCTTAAAGAAAAAAAGAAGAAACATAATTGACAGGGAATGAATTCTTTGATGAGCTTTTACCTGCGTATGACATCATGTCACATACAGAAAGAATAATAAATGGGGAAGCTTTCCTAGATTTGAGACATCTTCCACAAACCCATGGTCAGCATAGTAGGGACACCTGACATTCCATGAACCAGCTGCGGCCAGGTTGGCTCTCCCACAAGGCCTTTGTGGCTCATAGGACAGGATACACTGACCCCAGCACTGCCCACTTAGTCACAGCTCACTGTGTTCTTTCTCTGCTCAGCACCCCATGGCCTGATCTTTCAAGCCATCAAGTGATAATCATGTCTTTGGCAGGAAAGTCAGAGGCTTCCACCTGGCTCATCTGAAATGCAGCTGTTCTCTCTCTCTGTGTGTCTCTGTCTTTCTCTGTCTCTCTGTCTCTGTCTCTGTCTCTGTCTCTCTCTCTCCCTCTCTCTGATTCTCTCCCCTCTCCTCCTCTCTCCCTCTCTCTTTTTTGTGTGTATACTGGTGTCTTGTGTAGAAATAATGAAGAGTCAGGCCCTCTCTGAACCAGGAAAGGAGTGGACAGGTCAGGGATCATCCCTTCAGTCTTTCAACCAGCCACATCACTTTGGAGTGTTCTTGCTTAACCCCTCTGGTATGCTGTATCCTAGCAACAGGCCCTGGAGCGTTCTTGCTGTATCCAGGCCATAGTTCCTGTCCCTGGTTATAGGTCTCATCCTACAGGGACTCAGTAAGGACTCTTCCTGCTGTTTGTAAGAGACACATGGTAGAGAGAGACAAGGGTTGATTTAGAGCGAGCCCAGGACTGGGAGCTGGGTGGGAAGACATCTAGAAGGACAGTATCCTGAGGAAGGAGAGGGTGGGGTGGCTGAAGTGAGCTCCAGGGAAGGGTAACTCTGAAAGTGATGGTAGAGGTATGGCCAGGAGATGGTCTGGAGACAAACTGGGCCAATTTTCCAGTGGAAAGGAGTCGAGGTTGGGGAGAAATATGTACCAATTATGGACCTCGCCAGGTCATGGTGGCACATGCCTTTAATCTCAGCACTGGAGAAGAAGAGTGAGGGAGATCTCTGTGTGTTTGAGGCCATTCTGGTCTACAGAGCGAGATCCAGGATAGGCACCAAAACTCCACAGAGAAATCCTGTCCGGAAAAACCAAAAAAATCATTATGAGCCCCAAGAAAGAGGTTGGAGCTGGGGTACCCAGCAGTGCACAGGAAAGAGGCCACTGAGAAGCAGAAGACTGCAGCAGATGAGAGCATGCTGTGAGCATGACGCACTGTGCATCAGTACAGAAGTGAGGCAGGCTGCAGGACAGTGGTGGGGATTTCTCATGTAAAGCAGCCTGGCTAACCAGGGTCCAGTGTACAGAAGGAAACCTGGGCCCTTGTAAAATCTCCAGGACCCTAAATGTGCCTTTGTGGGGCTCAAAGACCAGTAAAAATGGTTCTGTTGTGTACACAGTTGACCACATAAACTCCCCTTGTGCTCTCCGAGAGGGACCTGTTCTTCCTGGATGCAAGCTTAGGCTGGCATAACAAGCACTCAGATAGTCCCCTGGTGGGGTGGTAAGAACATTCAACTTCTTCAGTGACACCCATGGAGAATGAAGAATCCTTACTAGTAGAAATTGGTTATAATGACTTAGTGTGTGTTGATTTGGCTGTGATACTCACTGCAGAATTATGTCTAAATAAAAAGCTGGGAAGGGCCTTGATATCCTTCATTGGAGAATTTACTCCATAGGCCAAAGTCTGACCTGAGGCTAGATGATTTTACAGACCATGAATATCATGCTCTCACAAGTGCAGTCCAGGTTGATCTTTCCAAAATGCCACCCTGACTCTGCTGCTTCTCTGCTCAGACGCTGCCCACCACCTTTCTGACTTTGCAGGAGCCCAACAGTGCCCTTCTCCGACCTCGTATTCCATTTGAGTTGTCACCAAACAGTGTTGTTTGGTCCACCTTTGTTCCTTCTGGTTTTATTTCTGGCAGGTCTACTTTCTAATTTAACTCTGAGGCTCTGTCCTGTGCACACTTCCTGGTCTTCCTGCCTGTTTGAACGGTTCTATACTGCCATTAGTACCTCCTATTACTGAGTTGGGATCCCTGAGGGCCTCTGAGGTTGGCCTTTTTAGTGCTAGATGTGTTCCTGTGGACAGAGGACTTATGCTGGGAACAAGGAAGCAATTAGGCAGATAGCCTGCTCCCGTGTAGGAGGGATTGTAGCCCACCAAT